AGCAGAAAATGAAATCATGTTTTCCAAGATTCACTCATATCTTAAATGAAGAACTGTAGTAGAACAAAAACTTCATGTACTATCAGCCATAGATTACTACTACTTCCAGTTAAGATTGGTTGAGAAAGGTCACTACTGATAACTTCAAAACTGCAGAAATGTCAACTGTTTCCAATAGCGTAAACTGAACGCAACTCAGAAGATGATAATCTACTTACTTTTCTCAAGATAATACCAAACTGTGTTATAGATGTTTGAAAATGCAATTATGCTACAGTCAAAGGACTTAAACTTGGCAATGTATCAACATTCACAGCTTAAAACGGGAAATAATAGCCAATGTAGAAATACACATAGAAAATGAACTTCTGAGCTTGTAACTGCCTAATACAGCAAAACGCACTAATGTATACATCCATTAGTCTACACCCTTAGACAAGGTTCCTGAAGCAATTAACGGACTCTAATATTTTTTGGATGTGTGGATTTTATCATGCATTCCTCCTTCAAAAGCCTCAGGAGAAAAATACTTTGCACTTAAACTACAGAAACTGGTTAAATGCTAATTTTGATACAGCTTCAAAAATTAAAGTAGGTTTCAAGTGTCCAAAAAGAAAGAGTTATATCAATTCTAAAAAATAAAGAGGACTTCAACTTATTATATTAACTAATTAGGTCATTGGTAGATAAAAGTTTAGGATATGTGAAAGGCAGATATAAATATATTAGATATAGAGGTAGTGTATACGTATGCCTGATTAAAAAAATACGCAAGGTGGTGTTTCCTTGACACTATGTCTTAAAGTCTCTTATTTTTATGTTATTATCCCTTATTCCTACAAAGAAAGGCTGTCACTTTTAGATGGTCACAACTTTTCAGGTTAGTTCTAAGCAATAAGCAAATGAAATATTGCAAGACAGTATTGCGTCAATCAAAAATGCTGAAAGAACACAATTGGCCAGTTTTAAACATTCTGTAAAATTTTACTTCATTATCCCTTTCTTATTTGAGCTTTCATGTAAAGTTAATGTTTTTTTTAAAATGCTGAATATCAAAATGTCCAGCGTGAGAGAAATCCAGTTTTTCCCTCAGCTCTTACGCTCCCTCCCCATTGCTGCAAGGTACGTGGCTCAGGGAAGAGGCATCGCCAGGAAGCCTGGCAGAGCCCTGACATAGCGAATGTCTGGGTTTACTGTGCGATATGAGTCAGCACAGCACGACCACTCATTACGACTGGGTAATATCCACAAGGCTCCAGCCCCAATAAAGACTGAAGAGGCTAATCAAATCACAGCCTTGCTTTCCACTGGCTTTTTCAGATGCTCTTCCACTCCACTTTGGTTGCTGCTAATGAACTTGCACTACACCACCGTCATCTCTTACTCAGGTCTCTCTGTATTTGATGGTAGTAGAAAATATAAGACATCCAGCTCTCGTTGTAGACTCCAGCCTGTCCAAACCCTTCTCTGATACTTCCCAAGACATATCACCTTTTATGGCTTCAGCTACAACTCCCTGGCCAGACTTCTCATTCAAATTGCTCCTGAAGATAGACCAAGGCCTTTCTGAGCAAAGGGGGGAAAAAAGCATTTGGCTAATGCTAATGCTCCTGCCACTGACAAAGTTATTTCTGTGGAAACATCCCCTTTCACCTCGCTCTAAATCCCGGGCCTCTCTGTAGTTCTGTCTCCAGGAGGAAGGCTCATGCTCTGTTCACCATCCTGTCCTAGTCACAGATCTCAAAGTCATCACAGAGGCGGAAGATGATCACAGGCGCTTTAAGCCGTCACCAAAGAATCAGCACAATTACCCTGTGCTGCGTGAAGCCAACTGCCAGTACAAACTTCACTGTGGTAAGAAACATACAGTGTTACTACGTACACCACAAACCTGTGTGGAAATTGGCTGTTCTGGATCATCTCCCCTTGCCATCCCGCTTGCCGACAGTCTCACACGCCTGTCTGCTCATAAAGGTTTTGCCTTTTTTCTTTTTTTTTTTTTTTTCTTTAAGTCTTTTACATTGCAACAGTACTGAATTTATGTTTACAATTGTTTTTAGAGTCTGGAAGGTCCTTGTGAATGATAGTAAGTTGATGAGTTCAGATAATTAGCAGCGATGACTGGGCAAATCGGTGTGGGAAGGAGAACAGTCTTGTTGCTTCATTTTCAAAATGAAAATGCATTTCATTTTGAAAAACAAAAGAAAAAAATAGAATTCAATAGAGGAGGCTGTCTTATACACTATAAAACAACCATGCATCAAAAAGTAGTGTCCCGTTACACAAAGGGGACTTCTTGTTGAGCTGTAGACAAACTTGAACGTCACAAGCCTTATACTTCACATTGCCATCAATCAGGAAAAGCAAGTATCAACAACTTTTAGGGACAGATAAAAAACAAACAGACAAACAAAATGGTAAGAATGCCTCACCTAGAAAGAGAAATTCTCTGAAACTTTCAGCGAAGCTGACCGTTAGCTAGTCAGCCCATGGACCAAGCTTCAGCGGCTGCGAGAAAGCACCGCAGGCCCTCCACACTGCTTCCACGAAGAGATCTAGGGGAGATCTGAGCACCGGGGAGTGGCACTGCCTCTCACCTGCTCCCCACAAAGCCGTCATCCACGGGGCTGGACAGCACAACTACTGAGTTCATCCAGAAACTGCCCGAGAAACTTTTAAAATAGGCTGTGGAGGAGTCAGGCAAGTTCAAGAGTAGACAGTTAGCAAGAAATGCCAGCTCCCTTTCCTAATATTGGGCTGTATTTTCAGAAGAAAATATATTCTTTTCAGGCAAAAGCATAGAACTTGCAAATAAATGTACATTTCAATGAATAATTTTCATTCTGGGAAGAGTCAGAAAAGGAAAATACAGGTTTTCACACTTCCCAAAGGAGGGTTTGTCACTTATCCCAGTCACTGGGTAGGGATTCCCTATTACATCCCACAGGCAATATTACCCCCTCACCTCAAGAAAATGAGATCAGGCATAATGCAGACTGCTGCGAGGACGTTATATATTATATGACTTTTTTTTTCTTCCATAGTCTCTGTTACAACAGCAATGCACAGATGGACCAATCTAAAGCAATGTATAATGAATATAAGATTTAGACAGCATATTTTGTTTCTTCTTAAAAAGTTCATTTGAATTTCACTCATCATTAGTCTACATGTAATTTTATTTTATAATTGGTTACCAAAGGTTATGCAAAACCATCAAATCAATTTCAAGTATGACTACACCCCACTTCACCAATGGCAAAATCAAGCTTAATATGTCAGTTTTTCAATGTTTATGACTCTTTAAAAAGGACATCTACCAATAAACTGTAGGTATCCTTGGCAGCAGTTTAGAATATACTACTTTTAAAATGAAAGAGAATCTCCCACATTTATACAACTGCTCAAAGACTTCAAAAAAATGTAAAGGATTTGAACACATTACAATGTGTTCAAAAGGTTGGATTAAAAGATATTCACTGACTTGATCTATTCTCCCTGTGTAAAACATGGCAAAACCTTCCAGGAAAACAATTCTAAAAACATAGGGAAAACAGTGACCATTGAATAAAATACTGTGCTGTGGGAAAACACAAACATTTTTTCCCAGGCTGTGCTGCTGAGCTTTTCAGCCTATCTTCAGAATCTCAGATGTATCATACCTTCCCATGGGAAAAGAAACATTTTAAATGCAGTATCAAAATAGTAAGAAGAAAATGAAAAAAAAAAAAAAAAATCATCTGATGACACAACTCCCCTCTTCCTAAAACCTGCAACAATCCTATTTTCAAAATTCTTTTCCCACCAAATAAACTAAAAAAATAAGAGGGTAGTCTGCAGATTTATGCTTAAGAAAAAAGTTTGCAGAACTAAATCCTAATTTTGTAAAGCATCGTTCACGGTTTACAATGTTCCCAAGGTATTCTACTGTGTCTAGTATATGAAGCAATAAAAATAAATAACGTTTTCTTCAGTTAAAAAACAAATGACTCCTTTATCCTTTCATGCCTAAATCAGACACCTGCTGAATCAATAGTCACACATTCAAAATTCAGTGAGAAAGTAATAAAAGATTCCTGATTATATATAAGGGATTAAAGAATCATAAATATGCTACAAGAGCTATGCATAGCTACGTGCTTACTCTGCTTGTGAATGGAAAAGGAAGGAAGGGTCTTCAAGGAAAGTAGCCAAAGGAAACTGAAGCAAATGTAAAAAGCATTTCAAGGCTATATTTAGAGGAAGACATTCTTCATACATTTGCCAAGCTATTCACGTCACTTCACACAGCATGTTTTATCCAGCTTTATAAGTTGGGGGGGGGGGGGGGAGTTGCCAGAAATGGAAATCTTGCATTTATGTAGAGGAACGAATATTTTAAGCATGTGAATTCAAGAGTACTTTCCAAAGGGGGTAAAAAAAAGAAAGGAGGGGGCAGGATGTTAAAACTTTCTACAGATATCACAGAAGGGTTCTGCAGTATATAGTTTATAAGTAACATGACCTAGCATCTAATATTGCCTTTTGAGCTAGGCTGTATCACTAAAAATACTAAAAGAAGTGAATTTCACTAAGTTCAAGTCTTCAGCTGGTATAAACTAGCTGAAGACCTGTCCATGTTCATGTATATAGGATACATTATTTATATAAGCAATTACATATTTCTCCTCTATAACGCGGTACACAACAATCTAAGATGAATAAACAAACACCAAACACAAGCTCAAAGGTGAAAACAGAAACAAAAATACTCCGATTTTATAAGAATTATATTACGATTTTTCTTTAACTCATTTAGCACATGCCACAAGGTTCAGCTATTTGCATAAAGAAATGTCAAGCATACAAAAAATATGTCAGTACCAGCTGTAATGGCAATAGGAACAAACCACATGGAAATTTCCTGTTAGTCACCTTCTGGAGGGTGGGGATGGAATCAATTTGAGATATAGGACTGGGTTTACTTAAATTTATACAAATGACTTCTATAAAGTTTTTACCTTCATTCCCTTCTCCAGGTGGCTGATAAAACGAAAGCCCCAAAGATATGATGGCTGCAATTTCCAAGATTATAAGAGTCACATCCTGCAACGCTTCCCAGACTAGCTGTAAGAATGTTTTTGGCTTCTTTGGAGGTATAAAATTTTTTCCAAAAATAAGCTTTCTTTTTTCTAGGTCTGCAGCAGTGCCAGCTAATCCTGTAAATAAAATAAAATAAAATAAATTAAAATTGCAGTGAAATAGAAAATGCCGACTTATATCTGCATTCCTATAAATTATTTCTCCAAGAACAACTACAAGCTGTACCACCTATGGTATATTAACAAATAGGTAGATTTTCCACTTAAATTCTGCTTTTGCAAGATGATTTGTCCTTACGTTCTGAACAGAATCCTTATGGACTCTAGTTAGTACTAATTCCTGCCAGGTTTAATCATGAAAAAATCTTTGAATTAGTAGGTTTACTTTAATAAGACCTATGTATATAGATACATACATACATGTAAGCAATGACTTCTGAAAATAGATCATAAAGCACAAATAAATTATATTTGGGATGAAGTTGGAATAGCTGTTGGCAGCCTTTGGTAGTACCAGTAGAAGCAGCATACATATCTTTGTTCTGACCTCAGGCCGATGGCCTCAAAGTATAAATCAATAAAACATGTCTTGTTCTACTTCAGAGCAACCTCTCTTGCTGCGTATGTACTGCCACACAATCGCTGGAATGAACTGCATCAAATTTTTGTTAAGTGAAAAAAGACAGCCAAAGTGACAGGTTATATATGCAAAGAAAGTAAAAAGGAAACGATATAAAAATGCACGTATTTTGCATGATACTTCAACTTAAGAACATTCCCATTTAAGGATACAGCGTAAGAATGTGTGGTTGCACTGAAAAACCCACTTAGATGCTTTTTTTTCCTATTTTTTAATTATATTAATGTATGCACGTCTAGCGCCTTTTCGGGGCGGGGGGGAAGACTTGCAAGTGTTAGGGTAGAATAACGGTGCCCATATACCCCTCTCAGCAGCATAAAGAGCTGCAATAAAATAAGTGGTTATATATATCTGCCAAACAATATTTGATATCCATTGGAATATTTACAAACTGTAGGTTTTGAATGTGATCAGCAATGTAAAGTTATTCATGCTTATTCACACTAACATGACACAACGAAAATACTGAAATTGAGAGTTGACCTCAGAGGACTACAAAGGTGCCTGCAAGAGAGCAAAAGGAAACGATCGATCCCACGCTGTAAGGATTCCTCTCCTCACGCAGTTTAGGGTAAGTCCTTCCCTCCCCCAAAGCATATCAACACCTATAGGGTACTTGAGGAATGGAAAGCCCTATTAACAGCATCTTCAAGATGCCAAGCAAAAGAAATCAGGATCCTAATGTGCTAATGGTACTCAGCGTTATGTCTTGTTCATTCAGGAGTGGTGCAACTGTTCCCAGCAGCGTGCCCGTGCCAGTAAGTCAACTCTCAGACAAAAGCACCAGGCTCAAGCCTAATTTCCTCAAGACCAATGCGATGCTTTTCTGAAGATGTCAATCCTGCCACAGTACAGGCAAAGACGTTGACTCACCTTTCACTTAAGGTATATAATTACAGCTGTTGTGTAGCTTCTGGCTCTTGGTTAACTCATCAAACTTTCATTTCACCTTCAGCTTGTACGAAATACTATCCTTCTCGCCCAGATAAAGGCATGCTGTAGTTATGATTACCTCCCTTCATTTAATTTTCAGTACCTAGTGCTTAGCGACACTGACAGGTTCCAGCTATTACAAAGTGCGTCTACGTTTTTCTCCGTGATTCAAACAATAACATGTCAAACCTCTCAGCTCCCCCATGAGCTCCCAGTCAGCTTCCGATGTGGGGAAAACGCTTTCCCCTATGAGACATGAATTGCAGGCTATAAGCCATTTGGGCAGTTGCCCTTTTGTGAACCAATGCAGATCACAGAACTTAGGACAACGCATGTGAGAGACCAGGGGAGTCACTCACCACTGATGGGATCTGACGTAGGGACAATCCTTTAGCAGAGACCAAACGAACGCAGTTTGATTAGCTTTCAGAGGGCTGCAAAGCCCTTCAATACAAGGAAGGATTTTCACTAAAAATGGCACACACCATTTGCACTAGTCCCCCAAAACACAACCTACTCCAAATACAGCAGTGACTTCATACCTAAAGAGGAAAGTACATTGACAGCATTGATAGTGGTAGGGATTTTTGGCAGAAATGTTCATATAATGCATCTACAAGCAGCAATACAAAACCCTGAAACAGAAACAACTCAAAAGCGCATGGGAAAGTGGAAGGAAGAGATGCCTGAAAAATGCCTATTTTCCAATACAGAACATATGTGCACGGTGGTGGGCCAGCTCCAGCAGGTAAGCAGATGACTGGGTAGTCAACAGCATGAAAGGGATGGCTGAGACAGTACAGGAAACAGCCACAGTATTTTTCAACAATCCTAATTATATTTACCTAGACATGATGAATTCATGACTTTGAAATTATGCTATATACTTTACCGTCAGGAGGCCATAAAAAGTACACGTAGCCTGTCCTGTGTTACTGATCATAGTGCACATATCAATACATGTGCATACTGAGAAGCCTCCGAAGCAGAGAGAGATACTGGAACTCAAAAGAGCTACTTTTTCTCCAAGACAAAAATTGTTCATTTGGTCACCATAGACATTTAGACACCGTAAGGTTGAGAACTAGACTGAGTTTAAAGCATCTGTGGTCACGATTATCTTCCAGACTGTAGTCTAAGTAACCTATGTTGGAATTTAGACAAATTTTATTTAATTGTGCTCTTTCGTTTTTCATAATAAATACTGTCTTCCTTAACACCCATACGTAGACAAGGGTAAATTGTGTGTGTGATTTTATTCTTTCCTGTAAGTCTAGGTCTTGGTGAAATTAATCACTAAGTCAGTCTCACCTAAAAATAAGAGCATATTCATTTTTCATTATCAAATGTATTTTCTTGTAAATCCTTTAGAAATGCTGGAAAATGAAATGCAATGTTCAGTTCAAACGAAAAGGTTTTCCCTCTCCTGAAATCTGGCCATCACTCAAAAAACCCTGTTCAGCAAAATTTGGGGTTTTTTTTCCTCCCATTGAACGCCAGAAACTAATAAACTCCTATATTGAGAGAGAGAGAGAAAGGAAAGGATGGAATGAAGAAATCTACAGACCAATTGATGAAATCACATAATAGTCCAAAGTGCTACTGTAGAGATAAAGTCAGAAAGGGACAATAAAATACATAAAGAAGCCAAAGTTGTACAAAGAGAGACAGCTAAGGGAAATGCGATTGAGAATCTGAGGCAACGCAAGATGTTTATTTTGCAAAGGCTTCCATTAATTCTCAATACTATTGCCAGCAGAAGGTACAATGGGGGCACTCCTTATCTTTTTAAAATACTCTGCTTTATTCAGAAGCATTATTTTAAATAGGCCTAAAGGTGTTTTGAGCAAGCCTAACTTAGTCGCTTGAAGAGAATTAGAGGTCACTCACACTTTCTGTCGCACTGGCAGATCTGCGGGATGCTGCTTCCCAGCTAGTGCGTGCTGACAGGCAGTACAGATGGTAAAAACGTCAATTAGCACAGCAAGATCTGGAAGTGGACATCTGTCCTCACCAGTACTTTCAACCAGGAGACGGCTTTCCTGCTGCTAGATTTTTTTAATGTGGTTTTTTTTCATATTACACATACTGACTTCATTACTATTCCTGAATGGGTTTTTTTTTTTATTTCTTGCTTGTCCCTTAATTTGAGTCCTGTGACAATAAAGAAAGAACATTCCAAATGAAAGTAATTTGAAATATCATTTCTATATAAAGATATAAGACATCTAAGGAAGTGAAGAACCACCAGTGGGGGCTAAAAAAAAAAAAAATTTAAAAAAAAAAAATTGGAGATACCAGTTCAATATGACTTCAGACTTCATATGTTACTGGCAAAAGAAGCAGCCTTCCGTGTTATATTCTGCATGACAATAAGCCACAGGCACGCTGGTTTTAAGTTCATGTGTCCACACAAGCATAAGTTGGGGAGTTTTTTTAAGTGCTTTTCTATGTTGAAGCTGCACAACACTTCTTTGCTTGACCCAAGTGTTTTGGAATGATTATGCAGATTTGGGTTAAATTCATACACAAATAGTATGCACAGATTTAGGAAATCTTGTGAAAATTTATTACTGATGCTTCTAGCACTTGAAAAATTTCTTAAGGTTTCAGTTTCCAAAAATTTTCCCTAAAATTTGTTTGAAATTTGTGGGAGTGATTGCACAGAAAACATTTTCTACAATGTTATGCAGTATATTAAATGCATTTCTGATTTAATCTGGCATGCCTTTATACAGAAATTGTTTTAATTGTTTCTTTTTTGGAGGGAGATAAAGATTAAAAACCTGGAGAAATGCCACTTAATGAATTTTCTTTGTTCCTTACCTAAATCTGTCAGTTACTGCATGCTGAATATAAACCACCATTTCAATTAATGCTTCCTGGAAAATTGTATTTCTCTGACAGTCATCTCCACTGCAACCAAATGGAGCATGACAAACAGAGAATGATTCTGATGCTGCAAAAATAGCAAAAGCACATCACTACTAAAGCAACAATTAAAAAACCCCAGAAAACTTTTAAGATAATATTTCACATCTTTTTAAATTATTATATGAGAAATGGAGAATTTACATTTGCACTAATTGTGCAAATAAACCATTCATTACTTACTAACTTTCTTCTGTATGTTTTCTGAGGCATCCAGAAAAGCAGAGAAAAATTTGATATAGTAAAGACCGTAAACAATGTAATTTAAAAATCACAGCATATGTAACTTCAAAGGCAAAAAAATTGTTAGGCGAGGGAAGTAAAGGCTTCACAGTTATGCTTAACCGCTATTGAAATTGATGCATAGAGGTAAACCAACTGTTTTGGTTAGTGAACTCTAATGACAATTAGATATGACATGCATGCATTCTTCCTATGAGAACACAGACCTATATGTTACTCATGAGCCCCCATCACTCTAGTCTCAAACTCTGTTCTCAAATGATGAGCATTTCTAGCGTCACATTACCGAGGTCTTCAAGGAAACTAAGAAGTAAAACACCACAAAGTATCACCCTGACAATTACTTCATTTTCTTTGCCTTGTTTCACGA